TGCTCCAGAGTCGGTTGTTCCTTAAATCGAGGCCCACCTATAGTGGTGTAGCACCATCAGCAATTAGTGATGGTTCATTAGAGTCCAATTAATAAATGAAACCCAGGATGAGAGCCATTGCTTTGCTGAGAATAACAGCCCTTCTTATGCCTCAAGTGGCATCCTCCCAAGAGCTCAAAATCCATAAGAACCAGCTGTACTGGGGGCTGGGTGGGGGGCACACATGGAGGGGGGATGTTGATGGTGATGGGCTATTGTCTGGTACGGTGGGAGGGGGAGAGAAAGGAGCTTCAGACCAGACATTCCTGCCTGGGGTCTTAGCTCCTCTTTTGAGGAAGCCTTCTTGCCCAGCAATCCCAGGGGAGCCTGGCCAAGGCCAGAGGTAAGAAGGCAGGGCTTTCTCCTCCTTCCTGTCTGGCCTCAGAGGACAATGCACATGCGTGTGGAGAGGAGAGGGCTGGAAAAGGCACGAGGCCAGGGAGGACCACAAGCCTCCCTGTTGTCTCTGACTACCCCAACCCATGTCCCAACACACTGACCCTGGGTCAGCCAGCCATGCCCTCCCCAGACCTGTTCACGGCTCCTCAAAGCCTCAGGCTCTATCCTCCGATTGGAAAGGTTCTCCTCTCTGTCTGTTCAAGCCCTGCATCCTCCAGGAAACCTTGCCTCCCCAGTCCAGCCCAGGCAGGGTCACAAACCCAAGAATCCGGCCTTTGACCACCCCATTCAGGTGACCACCTCTGTAGGGGCCAACTCTCCCATTCTGCCCCTGTTGCATAAGGCTGGAGACCTGGGCAGGGGACAGGTCATTGTTTTTTTTGTGTGTGTGCCCTCCAGGGATGGAAGGAGGTCCATGCCTGGGAGTCTGGCTGCCTCAGACTTCTGGGGGATGGGGAGGCTGGCCTTCCTGGCCCAGAGGCTGACATGGAGAGTGCAAGTAGAGGGGAACTGCGCTGCCCTCTCAGGACAGAATGGGGTCCAGTCATGACACACTGGGCATCTGGCCTTAAGGAATCTTAGTCTGAACCTGTTTCCTCACCTGCCTCTAAGTTTCCCAGGTGAGCAAGTGATAGGGCTGTGGAGGACCCGGTCAAAAGATTACAAGGCCTCTTGTTCTCCCATCCATCTATGTAAATGTTCTGCCCTTCGTCCATCTTCATTCTGCCCAAGCATCTCCTTCCTTGGGGCTTCTGGGAACATCCTTCTGGTCTTCCAGGATTCCGGGTCCTGCCTAGCCAGGACCCCTGCAGCCAGAACAGATCCAAATTAGGGTCCTCCCTTTCCCCCTGATACCCTAGGGGCTGCCCTGGGATCAACACTCAGGACAAGCAGGTGGTCTGCATCCTGAGCTTCCAAAGCCCTGGACCCTGTCAAGGCCAGACTTTGACATTTGTTCATGCTCTGACACCTTGAGGAGTGTGGGAGACCAAGCAGACAGGCAGGGCAAGTGCAGGGGGGTGGGCTTAGAGAACTGGGAGGCAGCTTGAGGGCTGGTACGTGGAGGAGGGTATGGAGACGGGGTAATGTGTGGCACACAGACCTCCCTGGGGAAGCCTGTGTGTCCGTGCACACACACACGTGCACGGGCTGGTGGAGGGGCTGGTCAGGGGAGCCTTCCTGGAGGCAGGGACAATGGCACACCCCCCACCCCTAGAGGTATACATGCTCTAGAGGGCATTTCAGAGGATGGGTGGAGGGCGGGGGAATGGCTCAGGAGCCTGTACTCACCACCCCATCAGTGCCCTGTACTTTCCCACTGCTCACCTCACCGACGGCCTCTGGGGCCAGACAACGGTCTCCCTTGGTGACAGTGGAGAAGGAAAGCAAAAAATCCGGCTTCTTCCCTCCCACTCACAGATGTGCTTGGGCCTGGCCCCCACCCCCTGCTTGGGTGGGAACCCAAGGGCCTCCTGGCAGCTTTGTCAAACACACACATACCCCTCCAGTGCGCTGGGGGGTGGGCCTGGTAGGGAGGGGTTTCTGTTTCTTGGCAGCTTAGGACCCAGGATTGCTAAACTGTACCCCTGAACCCAACCCCAGTTCCATCCTGGTATGACTGCTCCTCCCTTGACTGGATTAAGTCTAAGCCCCTGACAGCAGGCTCCCAGCCTGAAGCACCCAGCAGCTCCCCCAGGGCCTGCCTGCGAGAGCCAGGCCAGGGCTCTAAGGATCGGAGGGAGGATCCCGCTCTTATAGTAAGCTATATGGAGGCAGGTCCTGGAGAGGTCCCCTGGGCTCGGAAGCTTCCCTGGGAGACCTGAGCCCCATCACGGGCCAGGGGTCCTACAACCTCGCCTTCCATGTGCCCAGCTGAGAGGTGCAGAATGGGAACTAGGAGCAAGGAGTGAACTGGCCCCCTTCGCCCCTCTAGATCTCTAGTTTCTAGAATAGCATCAAGGCCTGAAGGAGTCAGCTGTGCCAGGAAAAGCCATTACCCTGACAGCCTCCCTCCACCTGCTAAAAGCCTCCCTCCTTCCCCTGGGGCCTCACCCCTCCTGAGTTATTTCATCTCCACTCACCTAGCTCTGACAGACCTCTCCTGGTGAGAGAAGGGAGGAAGGGGATGCTTGCTTAACCCCTTCTATGCCTGAGCAGCGTCAGCGCCAGCAGGCTCCCTTGGCCTTGTCCATTGTCCTCCCCCATCTCTTTCCACCTGGAATCCCTCCTGCCGGCAAGAGGGAGACAGGCTGGCAAGTACAGGTCACGGGTTCCGACCTGCATTCTGTCACTGCACTGCTTGTGGTTCAGGTCCCTTGCTCACCCTCAGTCTGTCTGCTCTGAGCACTGGGTAGCCCCCAGGGACACAAAATACTGGGTGTCCATGCAGGAGCAGGTCAGATGTTTGGGGTGTAGAGGACTGACCTCATCCTTACATAGAGTGTAAGGCACAGAGGGGCAGGAGGAGGGGCTCAGACGGCACCCCTGAGTTAGCGGAGGTTAGCAAGTCAGGAGGCAGGGAGCTCCAACCCCTGCCAGCCTTGATGCCTTCTCCTCTCCAGCCTGGCAGCCTCCTTCACAGCCCCGGGCCAGAGGGGCCTTCTTCGCAGGTGTGCAGAGACGAAGTGTCTGGACCAGGGCTGAGTCTGGGAGGCACGCCCCTCATCATCCCAGCCCTCTCTCGGTGCTCCCCTGCCCCTGCCAGGCTGCCCTGGGTCAGCGACTTTTGAGAAACACCCAGCTTGTGTCATAAATGAGGGAATAACATGAACTGGGGCCTTCTGTGTGCCAAGAGCTTAACATGCTTTCTTCCCGGTCCTTATAACCACCCTGGGAGGGAGATCCCACCTACAGAGGAGGAAACTGAGGCTCAGAGAGGGCAGGTGGCCTGGTCAAGAGGTAACTGCGGCCTCAGACCCAGTTGTGTGTGGCTCCGAAGCCTGTCCTCTCCCCAGGACTCCATACCTTGGCCACGGCAGCCCGAGATCCTCAGAGGTAGACCCAGAGTTGGGGTCAAGATGGGGGGACACCAGGCCAATTAAAACAATTATGATGATTAAAAGGGCAATTAAAACGATTATGATGATTAGCACCATCATGATACTTAACAACACGTCAACTACTTTACACACATGAATGCATCTCATGCCCACAACCGCCCTGCATTATCAACCCCATTTCACAGTGAAGGAAGTAACGTACCACAAGAGCACGTACCTTGACAAAGTCACACAGCTAATAAGGGGCAGAGCTGCTATTAGGAACTCCAGGGACCCTGTTGTCATCACCAGGCCACACTGTCTCTCAGCTGAAGCAGAGAGGAATCTCCAGCTGAGCCCTGGAGCTTGGAGACAGGACTCTTACAAGAATGGTTGTCCGCAGGAGTCCTGTAGACAATTGGGGAGCAAAGATCCAGGCTGCTGTGTCACTCAAGTCCAGAGGCCAGAGGGAGCAGTGAGGACCAGGGGGCTCTGAAGGCTTCCTGGAGGGGAAGAACAGGGTGGGCTGGGAAGGCCACAGGCTGATTTAGCTACCATATGGGGCACTTTGGCTCTGAGTTTCTGGGCCAGCTCGCCTGCGCCACACTCCCTTTGGGGGCCTCCGGGGTAGGGCCAAGGCTGGTGAGGACACCATCTGTGCTTCTGCCTGGGGAACCATTGGTGCAAAGCACCTCCCCCTCCTGAGTACATGGCGTGGCTCCCCCTGCTCCAGGCTCTCTGGGATGGTTCCTCACCCATGATTGCTGCAGTTAATGTAGCAGTGCTATTTACAGCCCCAACATAATAACCTCCTCAACAGAAGAAGTATTAACTCTCTTGCTGAACTGTTTGATGGCTCGGGAGCTCAGGGACATAAGTGTCAGATACCTGTGGGATGCACTGGGAAGCAAAGGGCCCAAGATCCCACCTCTCCTTGGACAGGCTGGCCCTGCACAACCCCTCACCGCCCCCCTGCCTTGCCCCGTGCCCAGCTCTAAGTGTCCAGCCCAGGGCCCTGCACGAAGTGGGTGCTGCAAAAGGCAGTAGTGTGCATGTGCTCCGTTGAAAAGGTTCAGAGCCCAGGAAGCTGGGCCGAGCCTTGGGAGTTGGGCCAGCAGCTTAGGGAACTGAAGGTCAAAGGAGAAGCCAGCCAGGCGGGCACCACACAGCCGCCCTGCCCAGAGACTTCCTCCCACTGAACAGAACCTAAAGAAGAGAGTCAGGATGGGGAGTCTATGCACATAGGCGCCTGCTGGGGAACCCTGCCAAGGCAGAGGGCAGGAAGTCAGACAGGCAAGGAGTCTACCCCCATTCCCATCCCCACCCTTGGCCTCGGGTGCCTGAGTCCACGTGAAGGCCTCAGCGGTGGCCGGAGAGACAGGGTGGTCCCCCAGGCGGTCAGGGCAGCCAAGGAGAGAGACCTGGCGTCCCCTGGGCCTGGGATGACAAGAGTGTGTCTGCCTGGGAGGGAGCTCTCCATTCTCTGTCCACCCTTTGCTCAGATTTATGGACAATGTGTCTAGAAGGGGTGAGCAGCGGGCAGGACACCCTTCCTCTGACTCAGCCTGCTCCTCCCCTCCCCAGGGAAACCACATCTGAGGATGTGAAGGGCCAGAATGCCAAGGCAGTCACGTCTGTGACCACAGAGCCCACCATAGCCCCCATCTGGGGGGACACGGTCAAAGTGGAGCTCCAAACTGAGGATGCAGGACAAGGTGAGGTAGGAGCGAAACGTGGCTTGGCGTGCACGGGAGGGGTGTGAGGCAGAGGGAGGCTCCCTCTTGAGTCAGCTGGAAGCCACCTGAACACCTCTTTGGGCTCAGTTAAAAGCACTTTAAAGAAAAAAAATCATAATACTGTCACGCCTCATCTCCTCAGTCTGCTCGAAAAATGAGTTGTTCCACATAAATGAATTTCCCAGACAATGAAAGCTTATCTTTTTACGGCCGCTGTTATTATTTTCATGGTTGTTATTACTACCATCTCCCACTGAAACGGCACATTACAGCTTCCTGGCACATCCCCACACATCCCTCACTGGGAGCTCCTCCTGGGAGGAGCAGTGCTGTTCCCATTGCTTAGATGGGAACACTGAGTTTCAGGGAACTGGCCCAAGCTCAGGTAATCAATAAGTGGAGGACCTAGGATCAGCCATACACACTCTCGCTGAGGCTCCAGTGTTCTAGCTTTTTCCCTAGAATGGTTCCTTATCCTGCTTTGTCTCCTGGGCACTGCCCATTGTGAGACAGCAGTGTCCCTGTGCTTCCTGAGGGCCACGGGCCACTGTCATAGAAACCGCCTACTAGTTCCTCTGCCTCCACCCCCAGAAGCCTTTCCAGCTCCTGTCTTTCAGCAAATTCTAACACTGGAGGTGATTTAAGTTTTTCAAGGCAGGGCTTACACCGAAATCTCCAGGTAGAGGTGTACATGAGTATGTGTGTGCACTTCGTGGTTTCCACTCTTGGGTGAGACCTGGGGCTGGGCACCCAGGAGTATTGACTGGCAGATGCCAGGACAGCTATGGGCACTGGCATCAGGCATAGTCAGCACAGACCCACAGGTGTGCACAGCGTCTGTGCTCTTATCCGGTCAGAAGAACCTCAAGTTCCTATCTTGCAGGTGGCCCTTCCCTCAGAGGACCGGCTTTACTTCCCCCCCTTGAAATCTCACCAGGGACTTAGAATTCCCGTCTGCCTCATAAAGAGCAGAAAGCCAGCTGCTAAAGATACAGGAAGATGAGAGACAGAGGGTGAGGAGGCCCATCAATAAAGGGGGACAGAGCCAATTCTGGGTCACACCAGACGATATTTTTCTGCCTCTAAAGGGGTAGGTGGGGCTGTTGGGATGAATTGAGAAAATGTGGAAGAGGACAAAAAATTGACCTAGGATTTCACGCATGTGCCTGTGTGCGCCTGAATGTGCATGTCTCTGTGAATGCCTGCCCGCTGGCTCGTATGTATGTGTGAACGTGGTGTGTGTGAGTACATGCTTGTGTCTGTACACAGAGGCATGCATGTTTGTGTGTCATGTATGTGTGTATGCGTGTGTGTGTGTGTGTGTGCATGTATCTATGTGGCTGACAGGAAGTTAGGGTTTGTGGTGAGTGGACGTGGTCTGGGACCCCACCTTGAGCTCTGCACATGTCATGTAACTATAGGAAAGGACATGATGAGTCAGTGGCCTTGGGGCCCATCTGTGCAGCAGAGAGGGGACAGGACTCACTGCAGGAACAAGAGGGTAGTGAGGCCTCATGGGCAGGCAGGGAATATTGGCAGGTGCCTCTTTGCAGATTGAAGTAGCTGGATGCTCATTGGAACCTGGTTGGAACTGGTTGCTGTGGTGATGTCTGTGGTGGGGGTGGGGAGGTGGGGGCCAAGCCAAGAGGTGGAGGGAAGGGGGAGGGAGCTCAAGGAGGTGTTAATGAAAGCAAAGGGGAGTTGCAGACCCGTGTCAGGGCCAAAGCAGGCAGGTGGCAGAAATGGCTTGTTGGCCACACAAAGGGAGCGGTGGGAGACTGGAGAGGCACAATGCCCAGAGAAGAAGCTGATGAAGCGTGTTTGTAGCATGGAGACAGGAACAGGGAGGGATGGCTGTCCATTCCCCCCAATCACAGCTCATCTGCTGGCTGCCCACACAGGGCTCCAAAGACTGGGGTAGGAGGGGGAAATGCAGGACACTCACCCCTTCTTCAGCTTCAGCAAATTCCAACCAGATTTAGGGACTCAGGGCCCATGCGTAGTGGCCATGAGGGGCTGCAGCCGCCATAGCTACTGATGAAGTTTTGGCTGGGAGCACTGGAATCCCCTAGCTGAATTTTTTTCAGTTCTGCCCAGGGCTCAGTGAGTATACAGAGCACTACAGATGGTTAATGAAGAGGAAAATAGTGACCGCTACAAGGAGCATTTGCTTAGACTTTCATAGCTTGAAAAACACATTTCCCTCCCCGCAACAATATTAGGAGAGAGACAACGATTTTCCTTTCTAAAATATTAACATTTTGCAGAGCAGGAAAATGAAGCTCAGAGAGGTTAAGTGACTGACAAAGGTCACAGAGCAAGTTGGCGTGTTTGTATTAGAAGCCAGGTCTTCTCACTCCAAACCTCTTGTCTTATTCTACTTCCTTCAAGGCAACCTCAGGTCTTTTGGATGCCCATTTCCGCATTTCCCCTTCTTTCTTTCGAGCACAGATCCCACTTGGCCAGCTCTTGAGGGACTCTGACAAATGTATTTCCCTCTCTGTTTCCAGGGTAGCAGTGAGAAAAAAGAAGAAAGGAAGAGTAATTAGCAAAACTCTTCTCCTCCTCTGCCTCCTCCTCCTCCTCTTCCTCCTCCTCATCCTCCTCCATATGCTCCTCCAACAGTCATTTTTAAAATTCTTTTAATGTTTGTTTATTTTTGAGAGAGAGAGAGACAGAGAGACAGAGAGATAGAGTGCAAGCAGGGGTGGTGCAGAGAGAGAGGGAGACACAGAATTCGAAGCAGGCTCCAGGATCTGAGCTGTCAACACAGAGCCTGACGCGGGGCTTGAACTCACAAACTACGAGGTCATGACCTGAGCCAAAGCTGGACACTTAACCGACTGACCCACCCAGGTGACCCTCCATATGCTCATCCAAATGACCCACCCAGCTCCAAGTGACCCAGCCACACAGGGCTCCCAGACTGCTGAACCCGCCCCTCCAGCAGCTGTCCATGGTGCTGATGTGTCCTTGTCTCAAGAAAGAGGCAAAGAGCAAGGGGCTACCCCAGTCTCCATCAGGTACTCTCGTCCTTCCCATCCTCCCTTTTCCATTCTTCTCTAGATCTTTTAGATCCTTCCCTCCTCCATCTCTCTTATTCTCCTCCCTCCTCTTTTTTTACTCCCTCCTCATCTCCTCTTCTCTCTCACACCATAGACTTCCAGAATGAAAAGATGCCTCCAGGGTTACAAGCCTAGCCTCTCCCATCAGCCATTTACTAGCTGTGTGATGGCGATCAAGTAATATAAACCTCTCTTAGCTCCACTGTCCACAGTTTAAAAACAGATGGTGATGCCTACTTGAGGGGTTGTGGTGGCGATTTGTTGGAATAATGACTCAGGAGCACCCATCCCCATGTCTTGCACACAGCAGGTGCTCACTAAGGAGCATTTCCATGATTATTTCTAAGTCATTGATGTTCTCAGAGTTCATCCTGAAGTTCATGCATTTTTTGACAAAATGTAGTCTCTTTAGAGGGAGTTTTCTAAGTGGTGCATTATTCTTAGTGTTAGACTAATTTTCATGTCCTTGAAGATATTTTATTGATATTGGAAGATTTCTTGAGCAAATCACTTTTCCTTACTGAGACTCAGTTACCCCATTCACAACATGTGGGAGATAAGCCCTCCCCTTCCTGCCTGAGCTGCTGGTGAGAATGTCTTTGACTAAGGGAAGCGGCCTTATTCCTAGGAAGAGGTACTATTCCTGCTTGCGTGCATATCTCTGTGCCAGCTCATGTGTGTCTGTTGTGATGGGAGCTCCATACTGTGTGTGTCCATCTCTGGGCTGGGAGTTTCTGGACCACTGGACAGAATTGCATCTTTGGATCCCAACAGTACCTAGCACGGACACTTGCCCTGCACAGGAGCTCAAACAGTGCTTTTAAAGTTGTGTACATGTGTGTGTCCCACACATGTGTTGGTTCCTCAGCATGGCCCCTGCTCCCTGCTCTCAGCAATGTCTCACCTCCCACTGGCTCACCTCACCAGGGGTGACGCTGGTCCACTAAGCCCTGTTTTGACCTTGAGCTCATTTTTTCTCTCTTCAGATATGGTCCTCAAGGTGATGGACAATAAAAATAAAGAAGAGCTATTGTCCTATCAAATCCCCATCAAATACCTGAGTCTCTTCCACCCCTACCACTTTGAGCTGGTGAAGGTAAGTCAGGGCCCTGGGTGCTGGGCCCATGTGGGCCTGGAACAGGTAGAGGAAGAACAGATGGTAACCACCCTCATGTGCCCAGCTATTCTCTCAGAGCCTCCCATGCTCACCGTACAGTAAGATAAGTCTTGGGTCGTATGAGACTCAGGAAGCACAGCTCCTGACAGGTAGACATGAACGATTTCCATGAGAAATTTGGAATTCTCCAAACTCATCTCTGTAAAACAGCCCAATAGCATAGAACATCTACTACATGAAATGAATACACCAATTAAAGATATATTCTGATTTCATGTATGTTAAAAGTGGGAATATATCTAAAAATCAAAGAAATACAGTATTTTCATAGTACCTACTGTGTTTCAGGTCCTGGGCTAGACACCATCTTTAATCATCAAGGTGAATTCTGTTTTGCACACATAGGACTGGGACCCAGAGAGAGGAATCCTCTCAACCTGGGTGAGAGAGCAAGTGAGTAGCAGAGTGGAGGGTGAGCCCAGGTCACGCTGTCTCTCAAGTCCGTTCTTTCTGTGCGGCCTCCACACACTGCTTTAGCAGGAAGAAGTCCCAGGAGAGTTGGGGTGTGGGAAAGAAAGTGCTCCCTGGAGTGCACCCCTCTTGTAGGGAACTTGACATGAGCCTGGAGAGGGGAGCCTCAGGGACCTCAGTCCATGGTCTGAACTTCCCAGACTAGCTCCCCTGCCCACTCCCTCTCCCCCATGCCAATTGGTGGAAGGAAGGACTCACTCTTTGATTGCATGCTAGGCACTGGGCCAGAGATGAACAGAAGCATACTTTCCCCTCAGTGTGCACTCCAGACCCTATTATGGTTTGGCGGAAAGAACAATGTGACGCAAGATTGTCTGGGTTTCTATCCCAGGTCTGCCTCTTGCTAACAATATATCCATAGCAGCCGCTTAACCCCCTAGGCCTCTACTTCTCATTGGCAAAATAGAGACACTGAGCATGGCCATTTGGACAACTGAATGCAACGATGAACATAAAGCCTCTAGTGAGGTACCTGGCACATTGTGGGTGCTCAGTTCAGGTCAGTTCCCCTCCTTTCCTCCCTCCCTGCTTCCCACCAGGTCCTGCGTTGATCCTCTTTCCAAGCACCACCTCAACCATGGCCTAGGGTCTTTACCTTCCTTATGCCCCTTCCCTAAGCCTGGATGAGATACCTGGGGCAGGCAGGGCCAGGAAGGCCCAGAGAGATTCATGACTCACCTGGAAGACAGTGCTTTAGCTGTGATTCTGTGATCATCACCCAGGCCTCCTGGCTCTCTGTCCACTTACAACCCAGGCCTTGTTATCACATCTTTACAGAGAGAGCAGGCAGGCAGTGGTCCTTGTGAGGGCGATGAAATATTCAAATAGAAAAGGGAAGATTTATTATATTGATCTTGGAAGGGCTCGCAGGGACCATGAGCTTTAATTATCAACTCGGAGCCCCGGTGGAGCAATGCCAAGTGATTGTGTGCAGAGGGCTGGATTTATGGCCAGGGTCTGCCCCTTAGTCACTCTCCTTCTTGTGTGTCTTCTTCCCTTGCCCTGTCCCCAGCCCACCCAGTCAGGGAAAGCTGAGGAAGCCACTGCCAAGACCCAACTGTATGTGACCATCGTTCGGAAAGGCAGTTTCTTCCACCGCGACATCGGCAGCAACCACACTGCTCTGGAGGTACCAGGACTGGAGCAGGGGGTGGGGGGTGAAGGGGCAAGCTTGGAGCAGACCCCAGGCCCTCTCCTTGGCCACCTCTGGTTAGTCTGACTTTGTGGGGCGGGGAGGGGTGTCTGGGGAAGAAATTAAGAAGGAAGAATGCAACAAGGCCTTCCAAGAATAGCCAAAGTACTTTGAAGAACCCACCCTGGGATGACGGGGATGATGGGTTAGGGATGGAGATGAAAATGACACCTAACCTTTTCCAGCACTTCCCAGGCATACAGTCCTGCTCTGCTCCACACATACCAAGCAGGGAGGATGGAGAAAGGGAGGCTCCCAAAGCCTTATGTCTGTTTGAATCTCATGGGGGGTGGGGAGGAAAAGACCCCCCACCTTGGCCCACATTCCCTTCCTGTTTCTCTCCTTTTCTGTCCCACTTGGAGTAGGGACCCCTGACCCACAACCCCCAAAATTTTAGGGCCTCCCCCTCTTCTTTGAGTCCTATTTCTGAAGAGGTTTGGCTGGCCTTCCAATTAGGCATTCATTCATTCATTCATTCATTCATTCAATAACTGCTTACGGAGCCTCCTCCAGGCTTGGCTCAACTTAGACCTAGCTGGCACACATAATGCCCCAACCTTCTATTTCTCAGCTTTTCAGCAGCTTCAGAAAGTTGGGCAATGCTCTAGAAAGATGTCCAGGGACCTATCCCCGCTCCCTTTCCCCTACAGCCTTCAAACTTCCCAGAGATGACAGACTTAAGTAGTGTTGGCCTGAGTATGAGAGGGGGATCCGAGAAGGCCCAAGCTCTGGGCTTCCCCTGCCCCAACGTGGCTGATCTGACCCACCCCACGACACTATAAGCCTGGCAGGACAAAAGTGTTCTTTAGTCCCATTTCACAGCTGGGGACACCGAGACTTGGAGAGTCTGGTATGGAAGTCCAGAGCTCCTGACTCACATCTCTGCTTCCCCACAGCCACCTTGCATGCCAGTGTATATCAGACCTGTAGGCTCCCCCTGTTCTAATCTCCCTCCCTTTTCCATCATGTTCTTTCCTGGGATCTGCCAGCAGTACACACACACACACACACACACACACACACACACACACACAGAATAAGGAAGAGTGGTAACAGCTTGGCCTTGCTGTTCCCAGGCCCCACCCCACAGGGAGAAGACCGTACCTTTAAAGACCTGGCAGAGGGGCGCCTGGGTGGCACAGTCGGTTAAGCGTCCGACTTCAGCCAGGTCACGATCTCGCGGTCCCTGAGTTCAAGCCCCGCGTCAGGCTCTGGGCTGATGGCTCAGAGCCTGGAGCCTGTTTCCGATTCTGTGTCTCCCTCTCTCTCTGCCCCTCCCCCGTTCATGCTCTGTCTCTCTCTGTCCCAAAGAAAATAAATAAACGTTGAAAAAAAATAAAATAAAATAAATAAAATAAAAAAAAATAAAGACCTGGCAGAACCCTTGCCTGTGGGAGTGGGGGGTTCCCACTGAGGATCTGCCCCACTCCCACCCCAGCCTCCAGACTTACCTAGGAGAGTCTCAAGCACCCCACCTACTCCGCGGCCCCAGCGCAGATAGATGCCCCCCTTCCAGTCCTGATAGCAGACTGGAGAGCACAGTGGGAAGAGAAATTGCTTCTTTTACTCACTGGCTGTCATGAGCATGTGCACCTGGGCAGCTCTCTCATTCACACCTGAGCATATAGCACTGAACGGGTGTAAATTAGCCAGCAACCCCTACCTCTCAGAGGCCTGCTCTCGGCCGCTACACCTGTTAGAGTCCCTGTGTGCACGAGGGCCTGACACCTCTGCAGTGGACTCGCTCAGCCCAGACTCCCACCCCCACCTGAAGTTTGAAATGCCCGCATCAGATTCAGTCCTTTGAATGTGGGGAAGGGATTCAGTCTCCAGGGGCCCCAGTGAGCACTGAAAGGCCCTGAGCACTATCTTAAGGCCTTATCAGCTCACAGCTGTGTGGAGTTGCTAGCCACCTGCTAAGATGGGTCCTGGCACAGGGTCCTAGGAGAGAGTGCCCAGGGAGGAGGAAAGAGGATCCAGAACAAGCCCTTACTCTCAGGCACTCTCCTCCCATTGAAGGTCAGAACTGGGAGGACCAGAGACAGTCTAGTCCAACCCCTCAGGGTATGAGCTGGGATACTAAGGTCCGGCATGGAGCAGGGACTCGCCATGGTGACATAGTGACTCAGCTGTTGTGAGTGGGCCCTCAGCTGTGTTCACAGCCCCTTCTTTTTCCTGCTCTTCTTCCCATGTAATTAGGGCCCCCATCCACCTTCCAAGACCAGCTCAAGCCCAGCCCTCCCACCCTGCTGAGGTCACTTCCTGGCTCCTGCCCTGCCCTCCCAGGTCTCAGTGATTCTGTTTCTCTCGTGCTCAGAAACACAATCAGCCTCTCCCTCCCCATCCTCTACTTTTCTCCTTCCTAAATGGTGCTCATTTATTCCCCAAACACATACTGGGCTCCTACTCTGTATCACATGCATTTGCTAACAGCTGGCTATACAGCAGTGAATGAGGTAGACATGATCCCTGCCTCTGTGGAGACTAGGTTCTAGTCAAATGGACACAATGTGAGCAAGAAAGAATTAGAACAAACACAGGCTATGATGAGTGCTAGAGAAGAGACAATCCAGGGGCTAAGAGAATGGGGTGGGCTACTTTAGTAAGGTCACAGAAGGCCTCCAGAAGGTGGTGACATTTAAGCTCTAAAGGAAGAGAAGGAGTCAGCCACTGAGTCACTGGGGGTGGGGGTGGGGAATCTAGGCAGAGGGATCAGCGTATGCAAAGACTCCGAGGCAGAAACAAGTGAGTATGCTGGAGGTGTGAGACAAAAGAGGCTAGAGCCAAGGACTGAGGGATTGGTGGAAATGTGGGCTGAGGGCAGACAGGCCACACATGCAGGCCTTGACCATGATGGTTAGAATTATAGAATTCATTCTAAGGGCAGTGGGAGGAGGGTCATCTCTGGGTCTCAAGCAGGAGAAATAACATGATCCCATTTATTTTTACAAAAGTGGTTTTTGCCATCATGTGTCAAATTGCCTGAGAAAGGGGATGGATTGGGGGCCAGAATAGAAGCAGAGGCCACTGATGGGGGTCAGAGAAGTAGAAGAAGCCACAGGAATCACAGCTGGGGAGAGTTGGGGTGAGGACTGAGGGGCTAGTGGGAACCCATTTGGTGGGTAAGGGGTGAGGGCCAGTAGCCAGATCAGGAATTTCTTGGGTTGGCAATAGAGGTATGGGGAGGACAGAATCTGTGTCTTCTCCCCCTGCCTTCCCAATGCCTAGCCCAGCGTCTGAAGGAGAGTAGCCTTGAGCAGAGAACCGAATGAGGCAGATGGAGGCAAAGATGATCTCATTACTGGGGAGAAAGATGGTAGATGGGTTGGCCTTGTTTCTGAGAGGGCCCTAGGCCACCCAAGGCTCACTTGCCTCCTCTCTTCCCCAGGTCTTTCTCCGGGGAATCAACGAGGCCCTGGTCAACAACTCTGACCCCATGGTGGTCATTGCCAGGGTGGTTCCCAACTACAGTGATTTTAAGTGAGTGGGGCCCACACTCACTTAAGGAGGGTGGGGAGGGCAGAGGACAGAGGAGGGGAAAGGCTATCATTGCCACATGATTCCAGGAGGCCTAGAAACCTACCCTCCCCAAGGCCCTTTAAACCTTCCCACTGGGTCTGAGGTCCCAGGAAGGTGCTCTCAGCCCCTGGAGAGGGGTGGCTCAGAACTCTCTGGAGAGCAGGCTGCAGGGCAGGCCAACATGTGGAGGAGGAGAGGAGGTCCTCAGCCCCTCCCAACCTGATGCGGTGGGTATGGGATGGGGAGGCAGAGCTCTCTGCCTCTGTCACTGCCTCTGGTGGCCCAACAAGACTCAGCCAAACCATCTGTTGAGTTCTGATGACCTGTGAATACCCCTTGCTTGTTGGAGAAATGAAGATGACTGATTCACTCATTCCCAGCCCTCCTAAAGAGCTCAGCACATGCACACACCCTGAATCCTGCCCTTACAGCCTCCGTGCTCCCCACCTTAAGCCTAAACCTTGGGGGTGGGTCACTCTGACAAGGACTTCCAAAGGTGAGGCATTTTAAAGATGGGCCAGCTGAGGCATTGAGATGTGGCCAAGGCCACAGTGAGCCATGGGGAAAGGAACCTGGGAGTTGCAGCCTATCTCCTGACCAAGGTGAGTTTTCCCAAGGCTTGGGCCAGCAATCAGGAGGACCATCCATCCCCTGTCCTGGTGTCCAAGCCACTGCAGCCTCCTCCTCTCTCACATCAGTCCAGAGTCCGTCCAAGCGGGACTCCATGGCTTCCAGGCTTGGGCAGAGAGTCAAGAGCACTGGGCATCTGTAGCACTCATGGGCTGACCCCTGTCTCCTTGCCTCCCCAGGGTCAATCAAATGAAGCAGGACCCAGCCTTCGTGGGGCTGCCCATCACCCCACTCCCCTTCCCAATCCCGTCTCTTCTGCACTTGGATGTTCCTCAGGTCAGCCAGAACGGGTGTCCTCAGGTATGGCTCCTTCCCCCACACACCCTGTCACTGGCTCAGACCTCTAGTGTCTCACCCACGTGTCCATTCATTCATTCCTTCAGTCAGCGATTCCCTTGACTATTAAGGAGTTTATTGAACCCAGCCATGTACCCAGAGCCATGCCTGTCTGTGCTGGGGAGGAGCTGCCCTCGGGGCACTCTTTGTCCGCAGAAGATAGGCATTGCACATAGGAAAAGGTCAAACATCAACACAAGATAATATGTAATCTAATAACAAACCAGGAGGGACTGTCAGAGCTGTAAAAATCAGAGAAGACACAAACGGACAAATATTATCTGATGCCACTTATATGAGGTTCCTAGAGTAGGCAAATTCATAGAAACAGAAAGTAGAATGGTGGTTGCCAGGGGGAACAATAGAGTATTATTGTTCAATAGGTACAGAGTTTCTATTTGGGATGATGAGAAAGTTCTGGAAATAGATAGTAGTGATGGTTATGCAACACTGTGAATTTACTTAATGCCACTGAACTGTACACCTAAAAATGGTTCAAATGGGACGGTTTATTTGTGTATATTTCACCACAATAAAAAAAAATTTTTTTTTTTATTTGGAGGCCATACGGATATGAAGCCTGGGTGATTAGAGTGGGTATCCAGACACAAGGCTCTTGAGTTTTCAATAGGGGAGGGTTGTTGCAGGGCAGTAGAGAATAAGAGTGTGAGAATAGGGATGGGACACACAGGGCATGAAGCACATCATGTCTGGAGAGGAGGGTGGTGTATTTGAATATGTTGGGGAGGGATGTGCAGACTGTGGCTGGGCTCCAGGCAATGGCCAGTTCAGTCTCTTCCCATAGTCTCTACTTCAGCGGGAGCTTGCCCCACATGGTGATCCCCACATTCCTGGGCCTTGAAGAAGACCGGGGTGCCTGGGAAGTCCTTCCTGTTGTCTGCCCACCACAGTTCATGTCTGGCAGGGCAAATACAGAATGAGGCACCCCTTTGGAGCCCCAGCCTTCACTTAAAGGCAAGGACATTTGAAGGCTCAGACACAGGCAAGAGTGATGGTGTCAGGGAGGGGTGGGATGAAGGGGGACCCTGGGGACAGAGGCTTCAAACCCAAACCAATCCTCGGCCTGATTTCCCCAGAGTCATCTCACACATGGCCCTGCATTTGCCCAGAAAATTATGAACCAATCAGCAGGCGGTCCCAAGGGGCAGGAAGCACTGGCTGCTTTAATGAGGGAGCCCCCTCCCATCCCTGGACCCTCTCTGGCTGCCTTTGCTAATGAATCTTTGTGGGGGGGGGGGGGAGGTGCCCCTAGCTCCAAAGACTTGCCTCCTGTGCCCCATGCATGTGTGGGACTCAAGGCCAGGGTTCCAGTAATGGCAGGACACTTGTTCACTAGGCAACATGGTAGTTGGGTCAGGTTGAGAACTCACAGAGGTGCCCACGTACCAGCAGTGAAAGGACAGGGACAGGCCTCTGTGGTACAAGGTAGGGGTGGGCAGAGCCCTACCTCAAAGGGGCACCAGTCAGCAGCTTATACACACCCCTGCCGCAGCCCCTTTCTGAGTTGAGAGGTGGTGGTTGGACCAGGTAATTTCTAGGACCTGCCTCTCTGACATCTTCAGTTGCTGTGACTTCCCACCAGCTGCCCACCAAGCCAAAGCACCATGGGCAGAGATTTGAGAGCCTGGCACACCTGAGTTCGACCCCCACCCCCACCCCACTCTGTGACTTACCAGCTGCATGAGCTCAATTTCTCCAATTCCAGATTCCTACCTTTACTGGGCTGTTAGGAGAGATTAAAGGAGTAACCTGTGCATGGCGCCCAAGCCCAGGATGGAAGGAAGCTCAGTGGACCCCATCCCTTTCAGAGCTGCCCCTCCTAGTGTCCAGTGCCTCCCGAGGCCAGCCTGGCCATTGCCCTTGTTACATTTGGCTACAAGTAACAGAAACCTCATGGACTTAAGCTCTAAGGATATTTATTGTTACAATTGTCAAGGGGTCCCCATGTAGGATGCTGCCAGAATTGGTTGATGCACCACTTAGCAATGTCCTCAGGACTCAGGAGCTTTCCACCATCCCTGGATTGCCATCTTCAGGTGGCTAACAGCTCATGGAGGCAAAATACTCGGGGTACCCCAGACATGACCAAGACCAGAGAAAGAAGGAGCCTCCTCTCCTTCTCACCTGTGGCTTTTAAGTAGCGTTGGAAACCTCCCACCCGCAGCCCCTCCGCAGACCTCCTTTCTCGTCTCATTGGCCAGAATTGGGTCACATGCACTTCTCTCACAGCCAATCACTGAGGAGGGGTGTGGCATCATCGCCTTGCTGTAGCCAAAGTGCACAGATGAGGTGCAGGGTGGCCGCCTGGACCAAAGCAGTTTCTGTTGGCTAGGAGGGAGGAAGGGGAATGGTTGAGGGGTAGGCGGCTCTTAGAGTCTGCTTCACCCCTCTCGGAGCCTGGTGATGACGGCAAAACTGGTGAGTGAAGAGATAGGTGGACCCGTAGGGCTGACCTGACTCTACCGGAGGGACACGAAATAGGGTGGGACTTAGGAATTATTCCTCCCCTGCACCCCGAACCTTTGGGGTAGGGCCATTGGCCAGCAGGCTGCTCCTGTCATCTCCTCCTGTCTCAGCTCCCATGGCCAGTCGGTACCCAAGCTCTCATGGGGCCCCTTTCCAACCCGCAGACCTTGCCCTAGTGCTGGCCGCGTCTTCTCTTGGCGTGACCCACCGCAGCAGCCTCCACTTGGGCCCATCTCATTCAGCGTGTGAGAAGCAGCCAGGGCAATGCCTCCCCCAGATCGAGGCTCTTCCCCTGGATCCCTGACTCCTTCACTGACAGGACAAAGCCCTCGCTGGCCACCAGGTACACAAGGCCTCGTCCCCTACAGCCTCCTGTTTCACTGTTACAACCCGCACAGGCTTTCTGTAGTCACTCTGGATGCCCAGCTCTTCTCCACGTTCGTGCTGTCCTCTCTGGCCTCCCAACTCTGCTGTGCTCAGCCTAGAATGGTCTTCCTCCCTCAGATCCTCCTTTACCCCGTTCAGAAGTCATCACTTTCTCCTCTGACATCCCAGCTTCCAGAACTCACAACTTGCTTAGGCCTCTGCATAGATCATAGGAGTGTGTGTGTGTGTGTGTGTGTGTGTGTGTGTGTGTGTCCTATCACCTAGGAAGACGGTGAACTCCAGAGCGGACAGGGTCTGACTCTAGGTCACCTGTAGGCCCTGAGCACCCCTGAGGTATAGAGCATGCAGGAGCCCCCAGTCAGCATTTGCTGAGTTCAACTGAACTTTCACCTCGATATCAAAGTATCCATTATCTCCTTCAGCCTTCACAACAGTCTTCCAAGGCATCGAGCATAAGACAGTTCCCAGTGGACAGTGACAGCTCGGTTCCAGTGAGGGGAAGGGACTTCCGGAGGTCTTGCAGCAAGGTTGAGGCAGACCTGCGCCCAGAGCTAAGGCGTCCTGACTCCCTTGAGGCCCTTCAGCATCAGCCACTGTCAACTACTCTTTCTGGAATGGGCAGAGCAGACAGTGGCAGGTGTGGGTGTGGATGTGGTGGGCCCAGGGGGGATGGAAGGAGGGCCCATGGGCCCATGTAATGAAGGCTCTGTCCCTAGGGAAGGCAGGTCTGCCTCAGTGGCAAGGGGTTAATGGCTTTGCTGAAGATTACAGCCGAGGGTTAATCACATCCCTTAATTCCACAGCCTGCTATGGCCTTTCCCATTAGCATCTGTGGTCAATGGCTTCCCCACCCCATGCCCTGCCCACTCCATACGTGCATGTGCATGCACACACACACGCGTGCCACTGACACCTTCACCAGGGCCTTGGCATCAGACTGTGAATGTGATTAATCCTTGATTCCTTGCCCCTCCCCCTCACTCCGTTCATACACAGGAGAAGCTGGACCCTGTCTCCCCAGTTGTGGGTCTGAAGGGATCTTTCCTGGAGGACTCATCCTGGGAAACCATTCAGGGAAAGAACTGTCCTTACTGAGCAGTCAGACACTATTTCTTGCTTAGTAGGTTCCATTTAGACACATTAGTAGGCCCCAGAGAGGACAGCTAGCATCCATTAAATACCCCTCTTCCCCACCCCCCACCGCCGGGTGGGAAGCAGGGGTGGAGGCAGCAGGGGACCGAGTCACAGGTCCTTCTTGAGTGTCCCAGGGCCTGGCAGATGATCCAGGCTATGGGGAAGGCCCTCTGGCACTCAAGAGAACAGGGTGGCTCTGGGATGGGCATGGTTTGGGGATCAATCCTGAAAGATCACTCCCAAGCCCCACAGAGCCTGAAAGCAGCTTCTCTAACCTGGCCCCAGGGCCAAGTGGCTGTCCCCAAGCTCCCTCCAGAGCCTGTTCTCAGGAACACTCCCATCGCCCCAGTCACTGCCCCTGTGTTCAGGACCCCTAGCCCCAAAGTGACTGCAGCTCATGTCTCCAGGGGCAGGGGCCAAGGCAGACACAGCTGAGCCTCAGGCCGGGCCTCAAAGAACCAGAGCAGGCACATTAGTGTGACAGGCATCAGGGCCCTGCCACCACGGGGGGAGTGGACCCACACTGATATTTCGAGGTCCTGCATCAATAACTCCCGGAGCCAGCAGTGCATTTGTGCTGACCTTTCTGAGCACTGACTGATTCCCGCAGGGGAGCAGGAGGTGGGAGCGGCCGCCACTGTTGCTGACAGCCCCTGGCTGGGGACAGAGGCAAGGCAGCCTGCCGGGGGTCCGCACCAATGACCCCAGCCCCTCCCTGTGTTGGGACCATGCAGGGCTGCCTGCTGGGTGTTCCAGGCTGATGCCCCTGTGTTCCATTCCCCACTCCCCGTTTTCCAGCCTTTGCAGATGCCAGGACTCCTCTACCTGGAGTCCCTCCTCATTCCAGGTGTCGTCCACCCTTGCCACGCTTGCTGCCACACGGACCTTTTTCTTGGGCTGTTTTCCCAGCCGGAAGCCCCTCCTCCTTCCCTTCACCCTGCCATATTTTACTTCAGAGCCTTCCTCTGGTCCTTCGTCCCGCAAGACAACTCTGCTGACCACCTTCAGGAATGTCTCATCTAGCCCCTTATTCTGCGGCCATAGTCAATGCTGTCTTGTCTCATTGTTTAAATAGTACTCGTGTGTGCTCTAGCTGCGGACTTAGTATGCTATGAAGTCCCCCAGATGCCCGTTGGCATGCCCTGCAGACACACCAAGGCTCAGGCATCTGCAGACCTGCCGTAGCGTCTGCAAAGGCCTGGGGAACCTGTGTGGGGCAGAGAGGGACTGGTGACAAGGGTAGAGGCCATGTCTAATTTGGCATCTCTGATACCACCACAGCCCTGGGTGTGAATACTAGTGCGACTTTTCAGGAAACTAGTTTACCAGCGATCAGTCAAATGCCTTAAACGGCACATCCTTTAACTCAGGGTCTCCATTTTGGGCACTCAGGAGACAATTTGAGATACAGAGATACATGTCAAAGAATATTCAATGCAGTGAGAGTCTAGGAAAACATGGGAAGGGAGAAGCCAGGGTGCTTGGACGTGAGAAAATGTCCTGCAGCTATGAAAATCGTGGATTACAGGGTTACCTGTGACTCTGGATATGCTCAGGTTTTCATGGTGAGTGAAAACCATAAGATGTTAGGATGGCAATTATATACAAAATAGGCTTCAGAAAAAAAAACTAGAAAGAAATGCACAGGCTTAGGATAGTTGTCTTTAGTGTGTAGGAATTTAGCGTTTTTCTTTTTAATCTTTTTATTCTTCTGTATTTTCCAAAATTCATGCCTTACACGTATGCTGCTTTGGTAATTGGGACAAACGTTTGTGACATATATAGACACACATAGATGGGTATATCTGGACATCCTTCATTTAGGAGAAGCTGTGGGCTCACCACCCACTCCCACTGCCTCCTTTCAGCTGTCCAAGCCTGGGGGACCCCCGGAGCTGCCCTCATGGAATCAGTCCTTCCTCTTCCAAGGCCGAGACGGAGCCACCAACTTCTCGGAAGACACAGCCCTGGTGCTGGAGTTCTACCCCTCGACTTCCAGTGAGTGCGCTTGCCAGGCCAGGGCAGCCGTGCATCAGGACATATGATGAAGGGGTGCTCAGACCACCTGCCTCTGCCCCCTGCAGGGGTGGGTTAAGGGGACCCAGTTCCTAGTGCATGCAGACAGGTAGAGGAGCACGTGGCAGCCTTCCTTGTCCTTGTTCCATGGCACGGGCCAGGATACATGGGTCCTATTCCTGTATTAGATCCATGCATTTTTATTGAACCCCTGTCCCCTCCCCATGTACCTGTCAGCGAGGAGGGAGGGATCCCCCAGGGCTCACAGACTACAGGAGAAACAGTTCAGAGACCAGATGATCCAAGCCTGAGTTCCACCTTCAGAGGGTAAAGCCCCCAAGGGCAGAGACAAGGGAGATCCATGTACACACCCCAAAACCCAGAATACGTTTGGAGTTTGGCCTGGAACTCAGGAAGCCCTAAAGAGCAGAGGAGGAGGATCCTTGTGCAGGGCAAGGCCGGGAGACAGGAAAGAGGCTGGCAGTGAGGGATGGGAGAACTAGATGTCGGGTACCAACAGATCGGGCGCCTGGTGGGGCCTCAGATGCTGGGATCCGAGGAGCCTGGGGTGGGGGCTCTGGTGGGAGTCCCAGCTGGTCCTCCCTCTACAGTGAAAGGCAGTGAGCCGTGGACCCTCAGCAAGCCCCTGGGCATCTCCGTGTTGCCGCTAAAGAACCGTTTGTACCGCAAGATGCTGACAGGGAAAGGTCTGAATGGGCTGCACGTGGAGAGGCTCCCCATCACCGTGAGTCCCCAACCCTGGACGGAGCTCATGATGGGTGGCCTGCTCCCACCCCTCTGCACCCTGCTCCACCTTGCCACACTAGCACAAGTGAATCTGGCTTCTCCAGCAGCTTCCACCAGGGCCCCTACCAGGGAAGCCAACCACTGTCATGTGTAAGGAGCTCCCCTGAGCTCCCCTGAGCTCCTGCCCCAGCAACACAAGCAGAAGTACAGGGAGCCCCCACGGGATGGTGGCAAGAGCTCAATCCTTTAACCAGCCTGGGTTTAAATACTGACTTGCCCTAGTTCTCACTGTGCAACCTGGGGCAAGTGTCTTCGCCTTTCTGAACCTCAAAGTGCCGATCTCTAAAATGGGAACAACATGCCCATATAGGATCTCTCTGTATGACAAAAGAGCCAAGGGCCCAGGCTCTAGAGCCTGACTCTCTGGATCCAAATTCCAATTCCACCCCTTAACAGATTACATCACCATGGGAAAATTAAAGTTCCGGTGCCTCAGTTTCCTTATCTGTAAAATGGGTTCATAGTAATAGAATTTTTCTCCTAGGGTGGCTGTGAGATTTTTTTGAAGCAAAAGTATTTAGAAAGTAGAGTATTTAGAACAGAATAAATTCTCATTAAGAATTAATACACGATTACATCATTGTTTATTTGTATGCCACCTTTTCCCCTGAAATACTTCTGGCCATTCTGACATAATAGACCCCAATAAATGGGAGTTTCCCTACTCTGCCAGGAAACAGGTCTGGAAGTGCCAGTCGGGTCTACAGTGGAGTTGGGAAGCGAGGTTTGAGGCAGGGAGGGTGAGTGGAGGCAGGGACCAGCTCCCACCTCCCTCTCAGGCCCCGAGCAGAGCCCCTAGCAGGCACCTTCTTGGGCAGTCCAGAGCACTGGGCAGAGCAGAGGCAGAAGCTGTCTTGGCCAGCATGGGCTGACTGCTCCCCTCTCCTCCCCTAGGACACCAAGCTGAAAACCATAAATGGTGAGGCCCCCACAGTGGATATCTCCTTCCAGCTGCTTTCCTCTGAGGTAAGGCTGCAGCACATGGGAAGGTCAGGGCCTGGCAGCCGTATGCCAGCTCGTGGAGCCCCACAGTGGGTTCCAACCTCCTTCACAATTGCTGGCCTTGTTCAGGGGCTGGGGCCAGGGGCTTCTGGGAGGAGGAGACAGCTGCTTTGGGTAGAAATATCTGAGGGGGATTTGAGGCTCTGGAAAACAAGATAGAAAGCTGAGATTAGGAAGAAAAGAATTGAAAGCAGAGGGCCACCCAGATCTGGGAGTCAGTCTCTAACCCAGCCCAAGCCAAGCTGCGCTCATTGGGATCAAGGTTCTACCAGGGTGAAGTAGGATTTTGGCTGCTGTTGCTGTGGAACAAACTAGCACCTTAAAACAGCACCCATTTATGAGCTCACATTTCTGTGGGTAGGCAATCTGATACAGCATGGCTGAAATCAAGACGTTGGCGAGGTCACATTCCGTTCTGGAAGCTCTAGGGAAGAATGTGCTTCCGAGCTCATTTAGGTGGTCATCAGAATCCAGTTCCCTGCCGTTGTAGGACCAAAGTCCCTGTTTCCTTGCTGGCTATATCCCAAGGGGCCTCTCGGCTGCTGAAGGCCACCTGCATTCCTTCTCACAATGGGCCCCTCCATCTTTAAGCCAGCAGGCATGTCAAATCCCCCTTACACTTCTAAACTCTCTGGCTTTCTCCTTTGTCAGCAGCCAGAGAAAACCCTCTGCTTTTAAAGGGGCTCATGTGATTAGGGCAGGCCCACTCTGATAATGTCCCCATCTTAAGGTCAACTGTGCCATGTAACATAATCACAGGGGTCAGAGCTCATCATAGACATGGGTCCTGGGGATTAGGGTGTGGAATCTTGAGGGCCCGTTTTTGGAATCCTGCCTGCCACAGCTGGGTTGAGCCAAGTGGAAAGATACCACTGGCTGAGCCCTGCCTGATGGATGGGATCTCTTCCTCTCGTCAGCCCTCCCTGGACTCAGAGTCCAGGTTGGACCCTGGTCATCTGGCCCCAGGGCACCGGCCCCTCCTGGAATTCTTCCACTTTTTAGTCGGTAGTGCTGGGACAGGCACGAAGCCGGGATATGGGCAGTTCAGGACCATGAACCCAGGAAATACTGGCAGGAGCTGATGTCTGGGTCAGCCCACTCCTTCCAGCGTCCCATACCAGGAAAAATAGCCAGAAGCACTGGGGCAATACTTGGCCCTGTGCCTTATGCATGGAGAACACAGGAATTCCATGGTGAGGGGTAAGAGGTATAGTCTGGGAATGCAGTCACCTGCAGTTGTGTCCCTGCAAGACCTCTGGTGAGTACCTGGAACCTCCCATTAGCACTTCCCCTTCTGGAATGTTCTGCATTGTCTCCTAATTCCTCTAATTCCTGGTGAAAGAGAGTTTGTTAGATACAGCCAGACAGCCCTCACCAACACCAAACACCAAACCACATGTAGGACCAGGAAGGTACTGAGAGGGGAAGACGCAGAAGCAATGAAAGACCCCAGGAAAGAAGAAGGGTACTTAAAGAAAATGTCACAGATTTCCCAGATTGGAGCTCAACACTCCACGGCCTCTTCTCGGGGTCTAGAGTCTGTCAGTGGCCACTGCCTGTCCCCTCCTCACCTCGCCCTGCCTCCTGTCCCTTTACTGGGCACCTGTGTCCAGAGGACCGAAAGGAGCATCAAGTGCCCCTGGTCAGGCCACTGGGGGACCCAGGCAGGCAACAGGCAGGTGGACGGGACACTTCCCCAGTTGCCCAGGGGCTAGGCACAAAGGTCTCAGTAATGAATTATTCACTGGAGCTGTGCTAAGTGCAGAATTAATCCCTTTCCTTCCAGCTGGCGGCCTCACTAAATTATCCCTCCAAGTCATGCGGGAAAACGCTGCCGAATTCATTTAGCTGCTGAGTGTTTTGATCTGGGCCTTGTGATTTTAGCTTCCCCTTCCCCCAGCCCCCCTCCCCCTGGAGGCGGGTAGAAAACCTTTCAGTAATGGATTTCCGAGAAGAAAGGAAAAGAAAGGGATCGAGATTGGGTGTGTACCAGGAAAATAGTACGAGAGGAAATTCAGATTCTGCGGCCAAGTGCTCACACACACAGTTGCACACGTGCACACTCTCTCCCACCATCACATTCAAATACCCGCATGCAGAGAACACATGTGCACAAACATGCACACACACACACTGCTTTGCAAAGGTGCACACATTTAATGTATATATACATGCTCACACACACATGCGACTTGACACACAGACGTTTTTCACACCCACATTGGCATACAAAGAAGCTAAATCTCTTTGTGGCTAAACTGTTTCTTGGTGAAACTATCTGTGAATTGGCCAATAACTGACTCACTTTGATTCTAGAATCTTGAACTCCAAATTTGGGGGTTGACTGCTCATGTAGTGGACCCGGCATAAGGTTCTTGCAACCATCCATTCATACTTTTATTCCGCGTGTATTTGACGAAGCCTAGAATTTAGGCTGCCCTTGTGGATTGCAATGCGGAGAGGGAGGGGCCGGCAGCCATGGAGCCCATCTGCCTTGAATTCTCCCTCATCAGGCTTGAACACAGCTCTCTGCTAGAGAGCCATGAGCCCTTTTGGCATCCTTCTCCCTAAGGGGTAATGGGAGGATGTTGAGAATTGATGAACAGGTGGATGGCATTGCAGCCAAGTCCAGAGGGCCCATCCCCAACTCCATCACTCACCATCACCTTCACTCTTCTTGCCCCATTGTCCTCCGTGCAACTGCAAATGTTTATTGGACACCTGCTACGTAGCAGATACTGTCCTGGTTTTAGCGATCTTACACAGAGGACAATGAGAAAAAGGCCCTGTCCTCATAAAGCTTGCATTTTTAGAGGACAGGGAGTGTGGACCAGACAATGAGCCAGTCAGTTCATGAGCAGACATCACCTCCTCGTAAGGGGCCTGATGAAACCCAGCGAGGTGATGTAATAGCAAACACTTGACAGGTTCTGAATTCCTTCGATCTTATTGTTCCACCTGAGATGGTGTCTGCAAATCCATGGTGGGAGGTACCTGGCCTTCACATTTGCATTCTAGCCTGTGGGACCAGAAACATTGCTTCTTCCCCCATTGAAATCAAACACAGCTCAAAGCTCCACAAGCCACTGCCTGAAGCCTGGGATCTTAGAGTCCTGTGGACACTCAGATGCGGGGGGGCTTGGGATAATGGGCTTCTTGGGGCCCCTCATCCTTGTGGCTAACAATTCCATCTGAGGGGCACATGATCAGATGTGCTACTGAAAAGCGATGCTTCAGGAGAAGTGAATATGCATGCCTTATCTGGGTACCTCCCTCCTGAGGATACATCCTCTCTCTCACAAGCCTCTTTCTCATGAGACTGGTCATCCGGGTTAATTGAGGTTTTGGTGAACACCATCTCCCCACACCCACTGCTTCCACTTCACCCCTTCTCAGCGTTCTGGGGAACAAGAACATTGTGGAATTTCCAAATAGGCAGAGACCACAGAGGTGTCTCTTAGTCTCACCCCCTGGACAGGATTCTCCTTGACAACATCCACCACAGGTGGTCTTACTCGTGCTCTGCCATGACAGGAAGCTCACTACCACCAGAAGCACCCTGCCCCATGGCTCAGTGGCCACAACAGATAGAACTGATCGCCCCACATTGAGCCTACCCTCTCTCTTTGCCCAGGCTCCTGGCTCCGCCACTTGGAGCTGCAGTGAAGCCCTGGCCAGCCTCCTGTACCGGTTCTGGGGACACTGGCGCATGGTCAGCCATTCAGCATGCCGGCTGGCAGACCAGCTGACAAAAACCCTGCAGTTTCTGTAAATGGCAAGATGGAGTGGCCTCCTGGTTTGGGATATTATTGTGTTTGAAGTGGTTCTGTTGGTGATGGGTTAAGCTTTTTCCCTCTGATGGGACTTCTCTACAGGCACCTGCTGCTTACAGTGATCTGCTTTAAGCTGGAGTTGTGTGTATAGTACATGAATAACTACACATAGGTTCACAAAAACTGAAAAAGAATGTACACCTGCATATACACAGCAGACTTCTCTTTATTGCACATTCGGTGGGGGTTGGCCTTGGAGGTCCATTCGGCTCTAAGAATCCAGGAGCCCGTGGCTACTCCACATACACATATATGAATAACCCCTTGCTCTCCTCCATTCCCCCTCTGATGTTGGCCTCTGCTCTTTGAAGAGTGTGATCTGGTCCCTCAGGAATCTGTGCTTCTCCAGGCTAAACAGTCTGCCTCTTTTAATGAACTGGTTTCAAGATCCCACCGCAGTTTTGGTGCCCTCCAGCTTGCAGGCAACCTCTTTGAAGTGAGGCCCACACCTGACCAGGTCTCCTAGGTTGACCCGTGCGGATTGGAGCCCAGCATGCACACGATAGGTGCTCATTGTGTCAGTCCCTGCCTCCTTGCATGGAAATGTGCCTCCTGCAAGCTTTGAGTGTTTGGCAACCGTGTGCCCTCTTGAGCTGGAATATGGAATCCAGAGTCTTACCCAGGCAGAGCACCAGGGCACCAGGCAAAAATAGGGCCCCTCACATGGTTGGCTGCCTCCTTCTTAGCCCACAGCCCTGAGAGATGCTGGGAGAACTTGAAATCCACAGGTTTCCTTGGATGTTAGCACAGAGTGAGTGCCTTTGTGGAGAGAAGGAGGTGGCGCCTGCTGCCACCCACTGAGGGAAGAGGCGGCTCCCACAGTCCTGTCTGACCCTCCCCCTTTGCTGTTCTCACAGGGAGAGGTGGGCAGGTCTTCAATGCCATGCATGGACTGCCCTGGTGTTTTCATTCCAATCAGTTACAAAGCTCTCTGGAGACCAGACCAACGTGGGGACAAAGGGCTGTTTGACAAATGTGGAGGGGAGCCCAGAGGACAGGCAAAATCACACTGGCTTTTGATGAATTTTTATAAATTTCTTTGAAGGCCACATATGAAAGCCCTGATCTGGTCCTCTGAGAAGCCCCAATACAAACCTACCTCCATTTCCTCACCAAACGCAGCTGCCTGGA